ACTTGGTAGTCCAGGCTGGCCTCGAACTCACAGAGATCCGCCTGGCTCTGCCTCCCGAGTGCTGGGATTAAAGGCGTGCGCCACCACCGCCCGGCGAGATAGCTGCCTTTCTTAATGGTTCTGGTCCTGACCTCTCTCGTGGTGTCTCTTGTGCTCTGGTTCCTTTCTTGGATGCAGTGAGTCTTCATTATGAGCAACATGCGTAGACCCGAGTGCTGCTTGCTACTGTCTTTGGCTGCCTGGGTGACCTCCCCTGGATTAAGGTCTTCTCCTGGAAGAGCTCCCACTGGTTCTGTCAAGTGGTTGGCCTTGGGTCCACTTTTTCTTCTTTGAAACCTTCTCCTGGAAGGAGTCCCAACAATTCGTGGGTAGAGTTTTCAGAGGCCACGCCCACCTCAGCATCCCCTTAGCTGGGCCATTTGCTTGATTCGCTACACATTTCAACTCCACAGTATCAGAGACTCTCATAAGGTGAAGAACCTTGGATCAGCTGCTGGTCCGTCATCCACACTGTGATGGGACCATCTAGTGTATACCCTGAAATCTCACCCGCAGACAACCCTCCAGGAGAAGCTGCTTACACGGGTCGCCATGAGCAGAATCATAGGTGCTTTGCTGGGCTTAGGAGATGGTTTTTGCAGGCAGGGGGAGGTAGTTTAGGACTGATGCTTCTGTCATCTGAGAGCTGTGAGGTGCCAGCACATTCTCACGCAGGCCAATCTGATGTATATTACTAAATATAAGTCCTGGATGAACTCTTCACTAGCTTATGTATGTGTCAATCAAGCCCACATTTTCTGACATGACTTTGGAAATGAGATCTCAAGCCCAGACGATGGACAGAGTTAAAAAATGCCACCCTGTCCTGCCTCAACACCAGCCTCACCCTTCTTCAGGTCCAGCCTGCCCTAGGCAGTGCACTCTTGGTTACTGGGGATATGTTAGTGACTGCAATGAGTTTATACTAAGTCCATCTATTTTATCTTAGGAAAGTACATATATGTATTAATGCATCAAAATAAAATCAAGGCATCAGTGAAAATAAAGTGAGAAGTTCCAAGATGTTTTCTTGATAGTATGCCTCAGGGACAGAGCATCTGCGCTCAATAATTCATTAATTATTTACAATTTAGTCATAAAGTTGACCTAAATGACACAGAGATTATTGGGTTATTGTGGATTTTGAGAGTACATTCATGAGGCTCACCTGAAGAAAGACAAGCATGCCCAATGCTGCTCAAGGCCTGCTGTGGCACAATCTTCTTCTACACTGTGATTATGTATCACTCTCATTGGTTAATAAAATCTGACAGGCCGGTAGCTGGGCAGGAAGTTAGGTGGGAAAGCCAAACTGAGAATGATGGGAAGAAGGATGCCAGAGTCAAAGAGACACCAGCCAGCCACCAAGCAAGCAGGACATATAAAAAATAAGGTAACATGCCTGCAGGCCACAATGCTTCCTGATATGATGGCAATGAACTAAACCTCTGAACTGTAAGCCAGCCCCAGCTAAATATTTTCCTGTATAAGAGTTGCAGTGGGGGTGGTGGTGGCGCACACCTTTAATCCCAGCACTCGGGAGGCAGAGGCAGGCGGATCTCTGTGAGTTCAAGGCCAGCCTGGGCTATCAAGTGAGTTCCAGGAAAGGCGCAAAGCTACACAAGAGAAACCCTGTCTCGAAAAACAAACAAACAAACAAACAAACAAACAAACAAATAATCAAACAAAAAAAAGTTAATTTTGGGGCTGGAGAAATGGCTCAGAGGTTAAGAGCACTGACTGCTCTTCCAGAGGTCCTGAGTTCAATTCCCAGCAACCACATGGTGGCTCACAGCCATCTGTAATGAGATCTGGTGCCCTCTTCTGGCCTGCAGTCATACATGCTGTATACATATTAAATAAATAAATCTTTAAAAAAAAAAAAAGAGTTGCAGTAGTCATAGTGTCTCCTCACAGCAATAGAACGTTGACCAAGACAAATTCTTCACAATTTAACCCCCACCCCCTGTGGTGCAGGGGATTGAAATCAGTGTCTTGCACATGCTGAGCCAGTGTTCTTCCTCAGAGCCGCATCCTTAGCCCACTATTCAATAGTGATAGTGGGTCTTGTAAAAGATATCATTACGTCTTTTTTTCTTTTTTTTCATTATGTCTTAAAAATGTTTTTTAAACATTGATTTTATTTTTGAGTATGTTTATGTGTTTGTGTGTTCATAGGTGCATGTGAGTTGGTCCTCCTGGAGGCCAGAGGTGTTGGATTCCCAGGAGCTAGAGTTATAGACAGTTGTGCACGGCTGACTTGGGCTGGGATCTGACCTCTGGTCTTCTGAAAGAGTAATACTTGTTCTTAACTGCTGAGGCATCTTTGCAATCCCTGTCTCTCTTTTTGCGTTTATCTGTTTGTATATGTACACATCATGCAGTACACGTAAGGATCAGAAGACAACCTTTGAGAGTCAGTTCTCTCCTTCCAGGGGTTGCTCTCAGGTCATCAGGCTTGGTGCCTGTGCTAGATAGTTTTATTCTAATAAATCCCATATATATATATATATATATTCTGTTATTCTAGAGACCCCTGACTAATATGACTAAAACAGTGCTTTTACACACTGAACCATCTTGCTGGCCCTAAACTCAGCTCATCTTTCTCTGAGATGAGCATTGAACTGACCCATGACAGGAGGAGGCAGAATTACCCATTTCCATTCTACGGAGCATGGTGGAGGATCCACGGCACATGTGCTCCATCCATTTTGTTTAGGGATAGTTATCTGAGTTTTTTCCTAGAATGTCCCCTAGAAATACTCAGAAGTTTTACCTGCAAATCTCCGGTTAGGGGGCATATAATTTCTCCAGGTGGGATTATTAGACTTAATATGTGATATGATGCTATTCTCTACAGAAGTAACAAGAAACAGGTGCACAAGACAGCAGGTTCAATGTAAGGCCAGAGTTCAAGTTTTCCTTACAGCTTTTGGAGCTCGTGGTACTTCCTGAAGCCGTTGGGAGGGAGTGTTCTTATGGAGTTCCGCTGCAGGGACCTGAAACACACACATAGTTCAGTCATGCTGAGTGGATTTTCACTTTAATGTCTTACTTCTAATTATAACATCAACGATCTTGAGCTGGATTCTGAGCTGCACGCACTGGTTTAATGATGTGTTTTCAAGGAGTGACTCAAAAGGCTGAACTAGTCACGCTTTCTGCAAGTCACTCTGGGCGGCTGAGCCGCCACCACTAAGCCTTCTTTCATCTTGATCGTAGTTTCCTGAGACTTCCTTTCCTACCAGTGTTCTGCCTCAGCCTCCAAACCAAACGCTGCCTTACAGTCTTGCAGTGTTTATATTGTGGAAAGATAAATCGTTAAATATTTTAATTTGGTTTAATGACCTAGGTGAAAATTTGGTTTGCTTTTAAAAGTGTGTTCCTTCCTTCATTCATCCATTTGTTCATCATTCATTTATTCTCTCAGTAAAGGCCTATTCAACTCCCACCATGGGCTTTTGAAAGATAAGCAATATCTCTTCCCTAACTCTCACACTCTATTTGGATGACTCATGATACCCCTTGCCTATAAGCTAGAGGGTTCCCTCAGAGTTTGTCCCCAGGGATAAGAAGGCAATTCATTGTCCTATTCTTATTATGTTTGTTTATGTACACATTCATTTCAAAGTGATTATTGAGGGATTATTTCGGTGTGTTGGGAGTTTTAGAGGATAGCTAGAAAAACAATGGAGATGATGACACTTTCCCTTTTTGTAAGAGAAGATTGGTATTCCAAAGACTATGCAAGGAAGCACATTTAATATTCTTAAAAAGAGGTACAAGTGAGATTCTATGAGAACCCCCAGAGCAGGGCCTAACCACCCTTGAGTGGAGTGGCTTGCTGTACAGGGAGGGAGGCTCCTTCAAGGATCTGCAAGAAATTTCTCTTTTAAAGCTGGGTCCTTATTAGCGCATGCCCAGGGTTTATAGACAAATATCATTCTTTCTAAATGATACAAAATATTTTCACAAATAGATTCATTTATATTTTCAAAATGCCCTGATACTAAAAGGGATAGATATTATTTTCATTGATTAGGGAAAACCCAAATACTTTCATCACATAAGACATTTTTGTATTTTAAAGTTCGATATCCCATTTGGTTCTTCACAAAGTCATATATATACACACATTCATACATGGTATGTGTATGTCATAGAGAGCAAAAGGCAAGCCAGAGCTCTGCTTTTTAGTGGGTAAGTTCAGGGATCTAAGAGTCAACTCTTGAAGTTAACATTTATTGAGTTAGAACAATGTATAAATATTCATAGCTATCTGTGTTTGCCCATCTCACTCTTTAGCATTTATTTGAAACATTTTCCAAAAGTCTTGACTTCAATAAACACTCGTTGGATGATTAGGCTTCTTTGATACTTTACTTACATATGATTTAGGCCATTCCTGACATTTCCCTATAATAGTTGCAATTCAAAATCTGGAAGAACTCAGTCATGGAACTTGATATTTAGTCTTGTAATACATTTACACTAAAGCCTAGAGCTTTTTTCCCTTTTGAACAGACCAAACAGACTAGAACAAGGTATGAAACTGAGCCAGAATCTGCAGAGAAGAATCTATATGGACAATTAGAATCAAGTGGTTTAATCAAAAGCACAAGAAAGTGCTCTATTGCCCTATCGGTATATATACACTCAGAGTTGCTGTGTGTGTGTGTGTGTGTGTGTGTGTGTGTGTGTGTGTGTGTGTATGTGTGTGTGTATGTGTGTGTGTGTGTTTACAGTCTTGATGAATTCAGAGCCTCATGCATGTTAAGCAAGTGCAATATTATTGAGTTACAATCCAAGTCTAATAATGCTTTTTTTTTAAAAAACAAATAGTCAAATGTTATAGACTTAAACCTCTGAGCATTATACCTACATCTATAAATGCCTGTTGAATAGCCACCGAATGACCTGTTAATGTTAAATAAGAAATCTAACATTGAACTCTTGAGTATTCCCACTTACTGGGACCTAGCCTCCTCATTCTTCCATCAATCTGTAACCCAGGGTGGGTGCCCTGAAGTCACTTTACCCACATTCTTCACTTGTCTTCTTGTAGGATGTGATCTTAGCTTTAGTTCATCCCTCCCTTTCTCTCTCCTTCCCTCCTTTCCTTCCTGGGTTAAAGCTGACTGATACATATCTGTTTATATATATATATATATATATATATATATATATATATATATATATATATATATATATATATATATATTATACATACGTGGTCAGAATATTTCTTTTTAAATCAAATCATAATTTAACTAAATTATTTACCCTGTTATTTCTGACCTCTGTCCCTCTAGCATTCTTTCTCTGTTCCTTTCTTTCACAAAGATTAGTTGCAGTGTTGGCAAATGTGTTCCAATATTATTTGTGGGAAAATGAAAAATGAGGTTGGCTGATCAGTCTTTTATTTGGACTTTCCAGTAACTTGATGTAAGCAGTGGAGGTGATAATTATTTCTATCACCAATGAATTCGCAGAAACTCTTCCTAGGACTTCCGTCAATTTCTTTGGGGGAAATCATTTCTTTTTCCCTAGCAGGACTAATTACTATGATAAGCCATGGGAGGCAAGAAAGGAAGAACACTAGCCAATGCTTCCTCTTTGTCCAGAAAAGGTCACCTTCTTCAAAGAGCAAGCTTTTGTGGATTATTTCCCCAATGTTCTCTGTTTTTGTTCCCAGATTGAGATCCACGGGGCAACACCTGGATTCTGTGAACCTGATGGGACTCTGCGGCAGCTCCTTTACCTGTGTGCCAAGCATCTGGGTTTTCTGGTAGGTTGTTTGAGAAAGGCAAGACTTGCCAACACCTGTATACTCAAGGGTTACTCTTACTGTGTCTGCACGAACCAAAAAGCCAGAGTCACAAGATATAAAACACATGGATGAAGAGCCCACCCAAACAAAACCCCAAACCCAACCAACTCAATAAAAAAAAAATATATTGAAGCTTTTACTATCTACTGAGTTCTTAAAAAAAAAAAAACTGGACCAAATATGTGTTTGTGTGCTGCTTGAAGTCTAGTTGAGCTCAAATAACCAGAACAAGAAACTTAGCACCACCAACACTGAGCCCAGCAAGACACTTTTACAAGACTCTTCTTCTTTTCTATATGTAAGTTTGAATTTCGTCAGAAAGGACCACAACATCAATATGTCTGAGTCAAAATGTGATTTAGAAGTTAATTTAAATGTGAAGTTCTGGGAATATTTTATCCAATATACTTTACTTATTCCTCAAGTAAATTAAATTTACTTGTGCACAAGAGTACATGAAAACTTCTTTATGTGTAATAAACTCTAAAACAGCTCTTGCCATAAGCATGAAATAAAAATTCTGTGTAATGAGAAAGCTGTGGGTAGCAGTGTATTTCGCTCCCCTCCCCGACCTGCTCCATAGCAGTTGAAATGGATGGCATCCTTTGCTCAGATGAAATATAGTGAACAGTCAACACTTCACAGAATTGTTTATGGAGTAATTTAAGGTGAGGTCTAGTATTTAGAAGTATTTAAAACCGTCTGTGAACAGTTCCTTGTAACTGATCTACAGATGGAACGGTCTTTGAACAAACATGCATCTGAAGTTGTGATCTGGGGTCAGTCCTGGTGATTGCCCTGCAGTTCTATCCAGCCTTAAGGATGAGCCAGTCTTAATGCTACTTACATTACAGTCACATTGGCAGAAACTGACGGGACAGCTCGTAAATTGGCTTCATCACAGTCAAGCTCTAGATCTCGGCACAAACAATGCATGGGCACAGAGCCAACCACTGAACAGAGAGGAAGTGGGAAGGAATGATGAAGTGAGGGACCAGGGAGAGGAGGGGAACGAAGAGAAAGAAATGCAAAGCCATGAGAATATTGACTAGGATAAAAGTCTATCATGTTTTACCCAAGCACTTGGGGGAATGATTTAAATTAAGGTTCCACAGTTTGCTTTGAATTACCTTCAAGACCAGACCAGTCTAGCATGAACATTAGGAAACACACACATTGAGGAGCCTATCCCCTTTTCTTTTTCCTTTCTTTTTTTAATATTTATTTTTTATGTGTGTGTCTCTGCATGTGTATATGTGTGAGCTGCTGCGCACAGGTGCTTGCCTCTCTCTCTCTCTCTCTCTCTCTCTCTCTCTCTCTCTCTCTCTCTGTGTGTGTGTGTGTGTGTGTGTGTGTGTGTGTACAGACATGCTCATTCCTGGGTGCTCCAAGAGGGCATTAGATCCCTTGCAGCTGGTGGATACTGGTGGTTGTGAGTGTCTGCTTGTTGGGATGGGGTTAGGGGATGGGGGTGGAGGAGGTGCGGGTGGGTGGGTGGGGGTGGGCACTGAGAACCAAACTCCTGTCCTCTCCAAGAGAAGTAAGTGTTCTTAAACGCTGAGAAATGGTACAACCCCCATCTCAGATCTTTGCTATGATAATGGAAAGCTGACTAACTTGGGGTTGGGGAAAGAAGAGAGTTTCCTGAACAAGGTTCCTAACAATCTTTTAAGTTCTCTAGACACAGGAGACAATGAAATGAATCCCATGGTGGGATGGACTACTGAACACAGCACAGGAAAAGATGAGCCATCTTCCCAGCTCACCTTTTTTTTTTCTTAAATATTGGATTGACCTTCATTGGCCACAGAATGAACAAAATCTTCTGCTTCTGTCTCCAAAGGAGAAGGGATAGTGTGGGGGCTTCAGGTCCATTTGAAAGCTTCTGTTTGAGTATTAGTATCAAAAGTAATAAATAACCTCTTTGGTGGAAGACTAAATCACTTTAACCAGAAGCAAGCAGGAAAGGAGACATCACCAAGGAATGAGGAGGTTTCGTCCCTTCGAAAGGGTGCTCCCGTGTGACTCAGGGTGGGGGAGTGAGAGAACAGAATCCTTGCAGCAACTTTTGCTTGTCCATGCAGTGTTCTAAATGAGCTATGATTGTCTTAGAATAGGCAATTATATGTAAAGCACTGTCATTTTAGTTTCTTTGAAGAAGTTGGTAGACATGGCTACACATGTTCCTGGTTGAGGACAGTTGGAAATGGTTCCCCTTGTACACCAGGACAGTGAATAATTGCCGCCATAACTACGTAGTTCCCAGCACCAGGAAGGAGTAAACGCAGAGGGGAACACTCACTGTCCTGACCGTGTCTGTTCCACAGCAAGCACAAACCATACTGTATAAGTTGTGTGGAATACAAATGCATTAGACTACTTAGCTAGGTGAACTGCCGGTCTCCAGTGGCTTTCAGATGTGTTGAATCTCATCCTGAAGATGCTCCAGCCACACAAGATGGCCAAAAGAATATATCCATCCCATTCTGTATCTCCCCAATACCCAGTATCGGTGAAATTAGAATGCACAGCAAAGCATTCATCCCATAAGTGCAGTTTTAGGCATTACTCGTCCTATGTATGACAAGAAAGAATGTTTTAAAATATCTTTTGAAAAACTGAATTCCATCACATCTCAAAGTTGTACCTGTTCTGTGGAACATGGTGGCACACACCTGTGAATCCAGCATTTGGGAGCAGAGGTAGAAGGATTGTGGTTCAAAGCCACCCTGCTAATACAAAACTATATTAAAATTTTTTCACATAAGAATTTCAACTGGGTTAAAAAGAAGATTGATGCATTAGCAACTTAATGCTTGTAGACAATGAGTAAACAATTTCTCCCTCAAAGCCTTCAAACTTTGATCATGTATTGACTATCCTAAGTATGATGCTTTCCACGGCATTTCTCTGAAGAGGTGACTTTAAAATGTGAATTGCTCACATTCTTTCAAGTATCCAAAAATGTTTTTGATTTCCACCAAGAATCTGACATGAGAAAAGTGTTACGAATAGGAACCTTAATTTAAGTTTCACCCAAGATTTTGATCCTATACTCTTATTTCATGTGCTGCTTGAAGAAGATGTTTAATTTAGCAATTTTAATCCCCACTCTCTCTACAGAAATCTAATTAAAAATTGAGCTTTTCATGTCTTCTAAGTATTGATAAAAACCATTACCTCGGCGTCGACCTTGATCCACCGTTCCTTGTGTAGGGCCGTGCTCCTGGAGCAGTCGCCACACATGTGACAAATGTCTCCCACAGTGACAGAGTGGGCAGAACAGGGTTCTTTGGCCGACTCAGTCCGTCCCCCCTCCCCTGTTATTTTTGCTTTACCAACTGTGAGTTCTGTAACCTGCCCTTGACCTTAGTGACCTGAGCTTTGGCTGCAGCTGCTCAACTCTCCTCAGCAAGAGCTTTTGGGCTCGCTCTCCCTCCCTCCCTCCCCTCTGCTCTTCTTTCTCCTCCCCCTCCTCTCTCTCTCTCCCTCTTTCATTCTGTCTCCTTCTTTCCTTCCTTCTCCCTTTTCCCCTTTCCTTTCCACTGTGTGGCCCAGGATGGATTTGGATGTCAGATCCTAGTACCCAGGCTTCAGGTGTTGTCATGACAACATGATACCATTGAGCTTTTTACATGTGACACATGTGCAGGTGCGTACCATTCCACCAAACTGAGCATTTTCATATGGAGTATTTTTTTGGCTATTATCTTTTCATTTTCCATTTAACCTTTACCTCTTATAACTTCTTAATATGTTATTGATTTGGTTCTATTAATAACTATACCTTAATTTTAAGTTGATAAAATATTTTTGGACTATGGTAAAATATAAGATTCAATTCAATTTTTTTGAATAGTGTGAGATATAAAATTCAATTAAAATATAAGAAAGGGCCGGGCGGTGGTGGCGCACGCCTTTAATCCCAGCACTCGGGAGGCAGAGCCAGGCGGATCTCTGTGAGTTCGAGGCCAGCCTGGGCTACCAAGTGAGTCCCAGGAAAGGCGCAAAGCTACACAGAGAAACCCTGTCTTGAAAAACCAAACCAAAAAAAAAAATATAAGAAAGGAAAATTAATATATTAAGAAACAAAATTGCATTTTAAGATAATACATTTAGTTTATATTTTTCTATCTTATTGATAGCAATGCTATACCTTTTAATTTTGTTTCTTCAAAAAGGTTTTGGCTTAATTTTTATTTTCAGCAATATTAGAGATTGAACCTAAGGCCTCACACATGCTAAGCAAGTGTCCTACCATGGGGCTACACTGCCAGCTGAACTTTTAGCTTTCTAACGATCAAATTATTTAGTCCCCCTCTTTTGAGTGGCAGGTGTGGTGCTGACATAGGTTGCTGAGCACCTCTAAGACTCATGGGAGGGATGTGCGTACCTTTCCACTGGAGATTGCTGGTAGCCTATTAATCTCATTTGAGTAGTGAAGACAAAAATATTAACAATTTGAAAAGCTAAACTTTATATTTGTGGTAGAACAAAAAGGAAAATAATATAGCAAAAGAGTTTTCCCATCCTCCAACTCTTGGCTTATGAGTTGTTAGTTTTGAAAATGACAGGTTCAAAGTACACACATGTATTTGCATAATTTATTAACTGGACTAAATTTATTTAAAGTGAATGATTTTAGTAAGTATTCTTGATCTAAAACAGAATGAAGCTATTGCGCAGCTGCCAGCTCTCTCCCTTCCATCGCCTGTGCAGTATCTGCCAGTGTTCAGCAGTTTACAGCAAGCTGCAGTGAGTACGACTTTCAGAGATCTGTGGCTTCGACCACAGAAGCCTTTTCCCTTGCAGACACTGGGACCCGGGCAGCTGCTCTGCTCTTCCATTTCCTTAGTTTCCTTTACTGCAGGGTTTATGCTGATGGCCAAAAGGACATTATATAAAACAGCAACTCTGACCACTGACACCCATTTTGTTTGCAATACCTGACTTGATCGATTCCTGGAGTACTTAAAAACAGAATTCCAAATTAAGGCTTCCCTTCTTAAAATGTTTGCAACTAGAAAACTATAATTGGCTTTCAAAAAAGAACGTTGTATCCAAAATTTAATAGCATGGCATCTTACCATGAACTCATCAAAGAGGGGACTCGGCTGCTGTGGCTACTTACAGCATTCAGAAGTTTCTGCCTCAAAGGGTTTCATGGAAGTCAGTTTGTAGTAATTAGCAAAGTATTTGTCGAGTTGTAGAGACCACCCATTGTTGTCTCCTGAAAAAAAAAAAAAACCACCAATAGCAAGAAAGTTAAAAAGAAAAACCAAACAGATATATTTTGCTATCTTGGCAAAAATAGTTCTTCCAAAACTAAGTCAGTGAATCTCAAAGGTGGTTTGGTAATTACCATCAAGGACTTACTTCAGGTGTGCAATTCTGTCCCCAGTTGGAGGTCTGGGATGGCTTGACTAGCATCCACCCAACAGGTGGATGACCCATGCCCAGTTGGACCATTATCAGGCTCTTCTCCTGAATCCTCCTTGGGTCCAGCTCATGAGTAGTGCCCTCAACCCGGTCACCCTGCTCCCTGAGCCGGATTTAGATGGGCCGCTACATGACAGTCAAGAAATTCTTTTTTTTAATGTTCTTTTTTGAGACAGGGTTTCTCTGTGTAGCTTTGTGACTTTCCTGGAACTTACTCTATAGCCCAGGCTGGTCTCAAACTCACAGAGATCCGCCTGCTAGGATTAAAAGTGTGCACCAACCCCACCTGGCTTGACAGTCAAGAAATTCTAAGCCACCTACAGTGGGTGAAGCTGGACTTGCAAGCCTACTCCCTAAAGGAGACCGAAATGACCTGGTACACAGATGACAGCAGTTTCATCAAGGATGGGCCAGGGGCATCTGTAACTACAGAGGGGATGATCATTTAGGCTGAGGCCTTACTTCTAGGTATGACAGCTCAGAGGACTGAGCTGATAGCCCTAACTAAGACCTTACAATTGGGCCAAGGAAAGAGATTTAACATTTACATCAATAGCTGATACACCTTCCTACGGTTCATGTCCATGGAGCCATCTATAGAGAGAGGAGCTGAAGGAAGGACAATTAAAATAAACAGAAGATACTAGACCTCTTGCAAGTTATATGGCTGCCCTGGAAAGTTGTCGTCATACACTGCCCAGGGCATAAGAGACGGGAAGAACCCATTTCCAAGGGAAATAATCAGGCAGATATGGCAGGCCGGGAAGCAACCCTTCAAGTTGTGGCCACCTTGATGGTCGGCTTCCTAGCTCCAACTCTGCCAGAGACCCCAACTACACCAGAGATGAACTCAGAAGAATCTGCTCCTGCACCAATGCCTACAAGAAGGATGGCTGGTATAAGTCCCCTGAAGGGCAGATTATTCTCCCCGCAGACTTTGCCAGCCAACTGGTTCTCCAAATGCACCAGGGCACACATTTAGAGGAAAGGAAAATACAAGACCTACTAAGAAGGGCTCATCTTAAGGTCTTCCACCTAAGACCGAAAACAGAAGAAGCTATAGCTTGTTGCCCGACCTGCCGCCTGGTCAATGCAAGATGAAGCACTGGCACAAGGGTGGGGAGCAGAGAAAGAGGAACCGGCCGGAGCCAATAGGGAAATAGATTTCATAGAGGTAAAGGCAGGTTCACATGGCTACAAATATTTACTGATACTGGTAGATATTTTTTCAGGATAGACTGAGGCATATCCTACCAAACGGAGACCACCTTAGTAGTCACCAAGAAACTTCCAAGACATCATCCCCAGGTATAGCCTCCCACCCTTTTAGGATTAGACCAGCATTTATCTCACAGGTAACACAATAGTTAGTTAAAGCTATGGGGCTTAATTGGGAACTTCATTGTGCTTACCATCCCCAGAGTTCAGCACATATAGAAAGGATGAATTAGAACTTAAAGGAGACTTTGGCTAAATTAATCCTTGAGACTGGTGGTGACTGGGTGCCTCTCCTTCCTTTTGCTCTTTTTCGGATCCGGAATCATCCCTATACCCTGGGCTTGACCCGTTCAAGATCATGTACTCTAGGCCCCCACCCTTGAAACCAGAAAGAACTGAGGCCTCACCATCGGTCACTGGGGTTGCCCCAAAGACCCACCCTCTCTAATCAGGAGCCCTTAGGACTCTTGACAGCCACTTACCAGGTTCTAAATGCCTTGAAGCCCAATCTCACTAAGGCTCACTGGCTGTGCTGGACACCAAGCCACCCTGTGATGAAGGGATTGTGGTTATCAGAAATTAGACTAACTCCCCTAACACTTGATCCTGCCGATGGCAGGGGTCAGGAAAAGGATGATACAAATCCCTATTTAATTGGTCACCATGGTTGACTGCCCTCCTGTAGGCCTCGACTGTTCCTCTAGTCCTCTTACTGCTGGCCTTAACTTGGGGACCTTGTATCATTCATGCCTTGGTAAGGTTTGTTAAGGAAGGAATCTCCACAGTCTAGCTGATGGTTCTGAGACAACAATATTAGCCTGTAGGTCAGGAAGAAGCATCTCTGGGATTTGAGATAATTTACTACTCAAGGGGAGAATGAGAGAACCAAGCAAATGCCATGACAGGATCCTGATAGCCTGTCAGAGACTAGGCCTTAACTTTAGTTTACCGGAACTGAAAAAACACTTCTTGGAAAAACCACAGCCCAGGGGCAGCTAATCAGAAAGCACCCCACAGCCTTATGCTCGCAAAAGATAGCTTCCCTGACCCCGCTGCTGGAGAGTCCCTAACTACTAACCACCCAGTATTAACCCATACCCCTTAAGTTCATTCCCATCAATCAGTTTAAAGGTCAACCTCCCCACCCCAATATTCCTCTAATTTTGCTTAAAAGGAGACTGTGTGATTCTCTCAGTGACACCATTTCATGTAGGTGGTTGACCCCTGCATGTGGGAAGTTTTTTGCTCTCAAGAAATAAATGCTCCTGTGTGTTGCATTGCATATGTAAGTGTGTGTGTGTGTGTGTGTGTGTGTGTGTGTGTGTGTGTGTGTGTGTGTGTGTGATGATCTTTGGAGTGATTCGAGGACCCTAGCATTCACCAAACACTGTAGTAGCTTCCTGCAAGTCATATTTGACCACTCTTGAGCCAGTGATAGACATGCTGAAATGTGGTATAACATTTTCCACACTGTTCTTAGGTTTCCCTAAACCACCTTCATTAGTTGAAACTGATTCTTGGCGTGTATAGATAGATCTTCTTTATTTATTAAAACTGGTTTTCGAGCTGTGTAGATGCAGATAGGTGACTGTGGTGGTTTGAATGGGAATGGCTATTTTCGTGCTTAGTCTCTGGTTGGTAAACTGTTTGGGAAGGATTGGGAGGTGTGGCTTTGTGGAGTAGGTATGCCTTTGTAAGAGGTGGTGTCACTGAGGGGTGGGATTTGAAGTTTCAAAAGTCTATGCCAGGCTTGGCACATCTTGCCCACGGACCATGATGTCAAGTTTTCAGTGCCATGCCTGATGATGTTCCCACAATGATGATCATAGACTAATTCTATGAAACTGTAAGCAAGGCCCCGATGAAATTCTTTTGTAAGAGTTGCTTTGGTCAGGTGCACACTATTAGAACACTAACTGATGTGCCCATGATGATTATATTTAAGACAAGAAACAGAAGGCCCAGGAGGTGTCTCAATTGGTAAAGTGCTTGCTGTATGAACAGGAAGAGCTGAACCTGAGTTCCCCACCCCCACCTATGAGATAGGGTTTCTCTGTGTCGCCCTGGCTGTCCTGGAACTCACTTTGTAGACTAAGCTGGCCTTGAACTCACAGAGATCCACCTGCCTCTGCCTCACTATTGCTGGGATTGAAGGCATGTGCCTCCATGCCCAGCCATCTGTTTTTCTGTTTTTTTGTTTGTTTTTAAGAGGACCCTAGTTTACTCCCCAGAATCCACATAAAAAACAAAAAACAAAACAAAACAAAAAAACAAAAAACTAAAGAAAACAAAATTGGGTATGGCGGCATGTTCTTGTATTCCCAGTGTTGAGGAGGAGAAGACAGGAACAGTGTAGGGAGTAGAGCTGCCTCAAGAGAAAGGCTGTGTGTGCAGGAGGCAGCAGACCCGGAGAAAAGGGGCCACTGAAGTCCTTTGGGGCCCAGACTGCTCCATCAGGAGCTCCAGAAGCCGGACATGGAACTGCATGATTTGGTGTTTGCCCTGTTGGGTTTTGGTTTGTGTTTGGTCTGATCTTTTCTTGCTGTGCTCTCATTCTTCTATGTTGGAATGGGAGCAGTTAATCTGGGTCATTGTACATCAGAACTGGTTTGTAACTTTACAGAAGCTCACAGTTGAGGCACTGTCTTTAGTATCAGAAGACTTGGGACTTTCCAGTGATGCTGAAACTGTTAAAGCAGGTGTAGACTCTTGATGTCAGAATGGATACATTCTGTATTATGAGATGGCCATGAACACACTGGGACAAAGAACAGATAGTTATTGCCTAAGAGATATATTTAGGTGTCAAATTGATGAGGGGTACACTTGTGATATTTTATAGTGCCAACCTGACAGAACCCTCATTCATTAAAGAGGAAAGCTTCTGGGCACGTTTATGAGGGATTATTAGATTGAGTTAGTTGAGGTGGGAGGACCCTCGCTAGATGTGTGCAGAACCACAACACAGGTTAGGGTCCCAGACCAAATAGAAAGAAAGCACACTGAGTACAATCATAGGTCACCCTTTGTCCCTCTTTTTCCTTCAGCACCGAGGAAGGGATCTAACCATGCACATGAGGCCAGTGTTCTCCTAGGATGTTATCACTTCATCTCCTACTCTGTGCATCTTGACTGTGGATGCAATGTCGCCAGCTGCCTCCAGCCTGTGGCCCCTGGGACTCCCCTCCACAATGAACTGTGCCCTGGAAGTGTGTATTGAAAATAAACCTTTGTTCCTTAAGTTGCTTTTGCCAGGCGTTTTGTGGGAGCAACAAGCTGAGTTACTAATGCAATCATTTGTGGCACTGGAATTTCCCCTTTTCTGAATTTGGCAGTTTATTGGACTTCTATGTAAACATTTAATAAATTCTTTTAATTAACACAGAGGTATTTAGGAATTGGAATTAAGGAAAGGATTGACTATTACAAAGTGTTATCAAAAAATTTCAAGATAAATTCATTTTTCAGAGTAGCATTATGAGTTGTTATTATCTATTTATAAATAAAGTGTGGAAATACCTGACTCATTGGTCTCTGGCAATGTTGAGGGGCCTATTGTTTCTTCCTCCCTCTTCCCCTCTTTTCCCCTGTCCTCCCCTCCCTCCTGCCCCTCCCTCTTCTCCTTCTTCTTTTGCTGTGGTACTATAGATGTAGCCCAGGGGCTCACGCACTAGGCAAGTGCTCTACCACTGAGGTAACACCCCTCGTCTTCTTATTCTTATAACCAGGGCTGCTTTGGGTGTCACGGCCACAGAGGATGAGTGAGAGGGGGAGCCTGTCTTAGGAGGGTCTGCAGCCTTGACCTTGCAGGCTGCGGGGGCCTTGTGAAACTGTGGACCAGGCAGCCGAGGCTCATTTGGTCGTGTTTCTGTTAGGAGGCCGTGTGGGGATGCTGGTGGCATGGCAGCTTTCTTCAACACAGGGCTGTTTTGTAGGTGGTATTTCCTCACGGCTGAAACTGACAGACATGGCGGTGACTGACGTGATGTTATTCTTAGTGCTCCTTTAGCAGGGCCTATATTTAACTCAGCTTCTACAAGTTGACTATTTTAAGTTGTCACACTTTTTGCCATACATAGTGCAGGGACTTGCCACCACGGGCTTGGCGCCCTTTCCTGGTTTTTGTCTCTCGTGATTGCTCTCTTGCCCGTCTGCTATTTTAAGGAACGCACTGTATGTGGTTATCTTAGTTTCCTTACTGTGGCTGTGATAAAATACTCTGACAAAAGAGAATTAGGGGGAGAGTCTATTTTAGCTCCGAGGTGACAGGCCACTGCTTTGGGGGAAGTCACAGTCACACAGGAGCTTGAGACAGTGGGTCACACTGCAACGAATTTGTCTACGCTGCTACGGCCCAGTTCCCTTTCCTTATCCCTAAAGATCCAGGAAACCTTGGCCAGGGAGTGGTACCATTCCTCAGTCAACCTAGTCACAATAGT